ACAGCGCCACTGATCGACCTAGCGGTACCCCAAAAACACCAAGCAACGCGAGACCCTTTGCCCCCCCCCTCGTTCCTGCGGCTTGGTGCCTTCGGGATACCGCTAGGTCGGCGAGCGGTGCTATGCCTGGCCGGAGGGGGGGGTATTGTCCAGGGGACTTATTTTCGGGGGTGGGCTTATATTTTTGCCCACACAAAAAATGTGGCAAGGCTTTAGTTTCAGGACAAGTCGTACTTTCGTGAAACATGGTATTAAAAAAAATTACAAACATGTATTTGTGAACAAACTTACCAGATAGTGGCTAACTGTGTCTGAGATAAGTTTGATTGTAGAAGAGCATTTCTTGCCTGAAATCCTTAATAAATCAAATGTAACAATTTACTACACCCATTAACATGTAAAACCAGTTAGAGCTATGAACTAATGATCTATATTTTAAAACGTTATAGAACTAATTTCATAGCAAAAAGCAATCTTATAAAAATCATTCCAAACATAATCAGTACTGGTAGCTCTCAACTTATGAGCAAATTTAGGACCAACAGTCATAAGTTGAGTTGGACAGAGTTTTTATGATAATTTTTCTGGCAGTCAAGTGAATTATCTTTGTTAAGATAATCTAGCTTTTCCAATGGGCATGTTTTGCTAGAAATCAGCAAAAAAAAAAAAAAAAAAAAGTCCCAAATCATGATCATGGGATCACAGGATGCTGCAAACAGTGGTAAATGTGAGCTGACTGCCAAGAGCCCAGACTGCAATCACATAACTACACTACTTAAGAATCCAGGAAAACTGTGGCCCACAAACCTTGGGAGATATTGTAGATGCCCCGCCTTTCCTAATTATAAATTTTAATGTGCATAAGGCAAACAAGAATACAAATTACTATCATAATTATTACCATAATAATTTGTTAAAATTAAATTATATTAAATTTAGTTTTTGTCCCGACATAACCCTCAGGGAATAGTCTCTGGCAATCATTAAAAAGTCATGCATGGTAAATGGCCTGAAAAATATTGTAATTTATTAATAGCAATAGCACTTAAGACTTGTATATTGCTTCACAGTGCTTTACAGCCCTCTCTAAGCATTTTAGAGAGTCAGCATATTGCCCCCAACAATCTGACTCCTCATTTTACTGACCTTGGAAGGACAGAAGGCTGTCAACTTTGAGCCAGTGAGAATGAAACTGCTGGCAGTCAGCAGAATTAGCCAGCAATACTGCATTCTAACCACTGTGCCATCACATCTTGGCTCATCATTTCTAATTTATACACTCATGAAAAACCACAGCATGTTTGCATGCATTTGATAATGGAGTATCACCCCAGCTAGGTTTGAGAACTAAGATTTCATTTTTGTTCAGCTCTTTAGTCTATAGTCCATGGCTGAGCAGGATGGAATCAGATGAATACTGGGAAACTCCCAGAAAATGCAGGGCTGTAGGTCTGTGGGGAATCGAAAAAATATTCCTGAAAGGATTTCAAACTATATCCATTCTATGACTAACTATAGAGATACATCCATGAAGTCTCTAAATATTGCCCTTGACTTGAAGGAGATTCTATCTTATTTATTTCACAATATATAAAAAGTAGTCCCCTTGAAATGCTATTCATTTTAATCTGTATTGCAAAAATATAGAAACATCATTTTGTTAATTAAAACTAGGATAATATGATGTGATGTGTAGGTGCTTTTAAAACCAGAAAAATAATTACTAAAAAAGAGTATTAATTTTAAAATAAATCTTATGTATTTTTATTGTTGAGAGCCTGTCTGGTGTAGTGGTTAAGGCGCTATCTAGAAAGTAGGAGACTGTGAATTCTAGTCCCACTTTAGCCATGAAAGTCAACTGGGGTAAGCTTGACTTGTCACTTTCTTTCAGACTCGTCCACTTTACAGGGTTATTGTTGTGGGGAAAACAGGAGGAGGAGGATGTGTCAGATATGTTCGCTGCCTTGAGTTATTTGTAAAAATAACAGAGGAAGATTTAAACAAATATAAACAAACAAACCCATCTTTAAATCCAGCACTAACCTGAAAGATATCCAGTCATTCCTTTATCAAGGTAATTAAATTTTTGCCTGTATTTTAATCTTGAAGCCTGAGGAACTGCCCAATCTGAAGATCCTGTCTTCGGTGAATTGCCAGTTAATGAGGTAGTAGAAGACGAATTTGAACTGTAATATGTAATAACCAGAGTCAATTAAAAAAAAAACCCTGTGTTTTTCAAAATTAACATTCTTCTTGTATTTTTCTGCATATTACTATTTTTTTCCAACCAACCTTCCCAAATATTACTACACTTCAGGTACAAAGATAATAAAAAGAAATGGTCTTGTTGGAGAGGGGGGGGGGAGAAATTAAGTCAATCAATTGATACTTAATATTTCAAGTCTGAAGGTCCATACCTACTAGATCCTAAATCTATCAAGGACTGAGTTTTCTGGATGTTGGAACCACCAAATCCTCCTATCACGGGAGTGTATGAACTAGAATGAGGCAAAGCTGAAATAAGAGAAATGTTGAAATGGGTTAATAATTATTTGAGTCCTGGAAAGAAACATCATCATTTCTACTTGAATTTTTTTTAATCCTTGTTCCTGAACCCTGACTGACAGTATTGAAAAGGACAAAGGAGGTGTCCAACCTCGGCAACTTTAAGACAGACCTGGCTGTAGAAATCTGGGAGTTAAAGTCCACAAGTTTTAAAGTTGCCAAGATTGGACATCCCGTTATATAAAAACAGCAGAATGTATGCTTGCATTTCTTTTAGGTACATAGATCTGATTTTATGAAAATTTTTGGATTAGCTTTGAGAACCCCTCTGATTCCAATGCCTATTAGTCAAAACCTGAGGGAAGAACCTGGATGGGAAGGAGGGGTTCCTAAGCAAAATAACTGGTCTTTTGAGAACAGGAGTTAGACTGGGAAATAAAATACTGTAAGTAATTTAAGCATCTGCAAAGCGAATCAAGCTGCCTCCCGGGTCAATGCAACATACTCAGAGAGCAAACCACCACCAACATCAGGCTGTCAAAACTGGAAACTTTCTGGCATGAGGGTACTCACTGGAAGAGTAGGACATAACTAATGGCTGAAGAAGGCCGGCGGTTCCATTTGGCAATGATGGAGGGCTGGCAGAAGGCAATAGTGGGGTTGAAATCACCATGGGAGAAATGGAAGGTACAGATGTCAGATTGGACATGGGAGCCAAAGGTGCTACTGTAGACAGATTTGGCATACTGCCCATACCTGAAGAAATTCAAGAGTCAATATAAATACACCAGTCCAAGACTATGGAATCCACCCCTTCTCTGAGATAGATGGCAGGCCCCATTTGCATATGTTTTCCTTTTGGAAAATGATTTTTATGAAACTGGCTGTCGACAGAGAATTCAAAAGGCTAGGCTAAACATTTCTTACTTTGATGGGATTTTTACGAGCATGCCTTTAATATTAAATTGTTTTAACAAATTACTATTGTCCTTTTATATATTTGTGTTCCACTAATAATGGACATTTGTATCTAACACCAGGACAGATATTGTAAAAACTAGTTTTAGTTAGGCATCTTACACTTGCACAAAGCATTATTTTCATTTGTTCCACCAAATGGCCAGAGTTTACCCCTTCTGGATGGGAAAATTACCATGTCCAAACACTGGAAAGCAGCAGAATGAAAATAATATAATTGCCTGTTTTTACCATACCCAAAAAATAATCTTTAACTATATTTTCTTCATATAGTTTTAACAAATGTAATGCTTCTACAAATTTGCAGAGAATCATCCATAATTATCATCCGTTACAGACAGGGGCCAATCTCTAGATATTTGTATGATTACCAAAACGAGCAGACATCAAGGGAGAAAACGCTGGAGTCTGTTTCATGATTGGAGGGAGCACCATAGGCAAGGACTGGCCTTGCAGCTTTAGTTTGATGAGTTTCATAGCTATGGAGAACTCCAGCTGATCCATTTTCCCATCTTTATTCAGGTCACTGAGAGCCCTTTAAAACAAAGAAAATGCATACAAACTGAGTGTATGTATATATGTTCAATTGTTAGTGACAGTGGATATTACTGTGTCAATTACTCACAACTAACACAGCATGAAGTTTTTTCCCACTATTTCTAGCAATATCTGTTGCTGATCCCTTATCTCAAACAAGTCTCACAAGGCTGTTTTTTTAGTAATCCTATTATGTAAAGCAGCCAATGGGCAAAAGTGAGAATTCAGCACACTGAAAATCATGACTTCAAAGGCTGTATTTGGTCATCGTCACCAAGTGCTATAACTATTAGGAAAAAGATACAAAAGTACATCCACATTCCTGACATCAAAACTCTTTCTTTACAAAGTATGCTTGGTAGAAAACTTACCAATCTGATAAACACTTAGCACCCCTCAAATGTTCTCTTTGTTAATAAACTTAAAAGAAAATGTAAAAGAAAATCCTTCTTAAAGGATGCATTTTCCAATCAGATTCTCATTTCTTATTTTCAGAAATGATACTAATGGATTCATTTTAAGAGTTCTGCCTTAATAGGATTGCTTTGCAGTAGAAATTTAAATTGTAAATATGCCATTTTAAAGATAATGCCAATCCATTGAGGACTTGTATATTGCACAGGTCAGAAGGAGGGTTGAGAAAATATCTACAGACCCCACACATCCTGGACATAAATTGTTTCAACTCCTCTCCTCAGAATGCCTCTGCAAGGCATTGCAAGCCAAAACAACTAGACACAGAGACAGTTTTTCCCTTGTGCCATTACTCAGCTGAAGACCTAAGTCCCACAGTACTGTCTTATGTCTTAGGATGTTTACCCATGTAATAGGGCGTTATATTTTTATTATCCTTCTCATCTTTTCTACTACCATCTATTATTCATATCATTATTATGATTATTATTATTTTGTTGCTTTGCATGTACACTGAGAGTTTATGCACTGAAGACAAATTCCTTGTATGTCTAATCACATTTGGCCAAATAAATTATTATTCTATTCTATTCTATTCTATTCTATTCTATTCTATTCTACGCTACACAAGTATTTGGGAAAAATAATTAAGAACAATATTTAGATAAAAAATGAGTGAATTCAGGATATATTCCTAAATACAATTGTTTGAAAATAATGTCCACTGAAAACAGAATCTACATTAATATGATTGCATGCTAAGGACACTTCCATCTTCTAATCTTCCCAATTCCAGTATAAAATGCACCAAAGATTGATCCAGCCTGTCTTGATTCCCTGTGAATTCAGACTGCCTTTCCTTCCTGGCAACTCTTCCAACTCATATATAAGTAGTCCTTGAGTTATGACCATTTGTTCATTGACCTTGGAAAGTTCACTGGTGCTGCACATATGTGGTACTTATGGGGTCATGCGATCGCAACTCAGGTGCTTGGCAGTTTGTCCAAACTTACAACCTCAGGAGCATTTAAACTCCCCTCACCTGCCTATTTTCACTCCCACCTCTGTCCTTTTGGCCGCCCTGCACAGCAGCATACCTTGGCAGCGGCACTGGGGCCTTATGGCAAATGCCATGATTTTGGTTTCTGATAGTTGAGCCCTAGATGGTCTTCCTTTCAATACTGTGCTAATGCTGTCAGTTTTTTTTAAAGACTAGTAGATATTCTTGAGAATATTGCTGCATTGTCTGCGTAGAATAAAATAGATGTGTCTCCAACGTGTATGGGAAGTGAAAGTTTGTGTTGAGGAAATGGCCCACCATGGAACTGATATAAAAGTTGAGTAGAAATGGGACCAATATTCAGCCTTGTTTTACGCCTTTTGGTTAACAGTGGCAGCAGGGAATGCCAGGATTACCATTGCTAAGCAAAGCAGTCATGTGATGTTGTGGTTTACAACTGCATTGCTCAGCAGTTTAGTAAAGCAAAAGGCTGTGTAGTTTTTATGAGGAAAGGGGGTCAGTTTTGGAGAAAGCATCAACAGTTGTGAAATAGAAATTTCCATATACAGAAACAATAAGGATCTATTTAAAAAAAATCATACAACTACAAGTTCCTGGTCATAACATTATTCAATGAGAGTAAGGAGGCTCATCTCATGCAATCATTGGAACAGCATCTTTCTACAGCAGCCCTAGAATCTCTTAATATAATGAATTCACATAGTGAGATGCTCACCATATTTCAGCCAAAACAGGACTTGACAAACCTGACTGTAAAAAAAACATTCGTGCTTGATCACCTGTATGAAGAAAAGGAAGGGGACAGAAAAGGACATAAGAATGTATCTCCACACTCTCAGTTGGCAATTTTCTTTTTAAAGGACATACATTTTTAAAATAATTCTATCAAGATTGTAATGCATTTAATTATGGGATAGGATTTAAAATTTGCCAGGACTGAACAATTATAGTGTTATTACTGAAAAGGTAATTCATAATCTTAATCTTATCAGACTGAGTGTGTGTATGAGGGGGGGGGGAGAGGGAGAGGGAGAGAGAGAGAAGGCAAAAGAACTAAAATGGAAGCATACTGGATTGGGTAGGAACTCCAAAGCCTTTGAACAAAATAACCTTGAGCCTTTTAGAAAAGATGCCAGTTTAGTTTGAAGAATCATAGTCAACCAGAGGGAGAACATGGATAAGGGATCAAGAAGATGAGATGACTGCTTTTCGATGGCCATTTCTCTTCAGCATTTGTAGGTGTCTGTTCCCTTATATAGAAAAAATAAATGTTTCCTGCTTGCTATCTCACTCAGAGACAGAATCTGCATACATTAGAAAGATCACATACACCTTCTTCCATTCCAGGAAAGTGTGTGGATGCTCTGAAACTTGACTCCACTTCCTAACTTTCTTCTCCTCTCTCTGAAAAATGATGGAAGAACTGAACTAACAGCAGAAAATGAAAATTGGAAACACCAAAGCCATATGGGGCAAATCTCTCATAAACCAGAAGCAGCTTCAGTTAAAGCTCCTTTGAGCCAGGTTTGGCTATTGGTGTCATCATATGTCCATGTCCATGAAGTTTTCTCTGAAACATTATGGAAGTGGATTTCCACTGCCTCCTTCTAAGAAGTCCCCCCCCCACGACTAGATTTTCTAGCCCATCTATAGCCCTGAGTTTCCCTAGTCTTCCCATCCAAATGCTAATCAAATCCATCTTTAGCTTTTCTGAAATCAGGCAAGATTGGTGAGGTGGAACTATCTATTGGGATGCCTCCAAGAAGCAGATCTATTATCTTCTTGTGTAAAATTAGGTCAGCTAAGAGTACCTCTAATTCAGAAAATATTGCTTATGTCATGTATTGTTGTCTAAGAAACTGTGATACAATCATTAGATAAACACAAACATGTGTTCATGACTTTCAAAAAGTTATGTTAACGACTGTACAATTTTATACGTGACTTATAGCACTACCAATTTTTGTGGTATTGACAGTTACAAAAATTTCTTTTTCAACTGTTTTTAACCAGATAGCAATTCAATGAACTAAATCTTCAAGTCATATAACACAAAACCATCCACTATAGAAGACCACACTAACCTGTAATATAACCTCCAACTGGCTTAAGGCTGTCAAACTGTTTATCATATTTCTTTCTTTCTTCAGAAGTGACGGCCCACATATTTGGGCCTCCTAAAAGACAAAAAGTAATACTTTAAAAAAATTATGTTCATTTGGGGAAAATAATTTTTGTTGCCTTAGTAATAATGTTAAACCTAAAACTTTTATGACCCATCTTGCTCCTACAAATTTGACAGGAATGTGGTTTGTTTTCTTGGCAGTCATCCATTCTTCCTTCATGTTTTTCACTTTAATATCTTGTTTTTAATATTTCAGACTGCTTTTTAAATTTTTTTTTAAAAACTCCTTCTTAGGAAATCAACACTGCCCAAATTTCAGATTTTTTTTAGAAAGTAGAGATTTTTGTCTCTCCCGTGCCCTTCATCCCTTACACTAAACAAAATCACCATTGCTGTTCTGCTAAATAGCAGCCTAATTTGCATAGAATCTAATTGTAATGCAACATTAAAACACCAGTTTCTTTATTTATTTAGATTCAGAACTATATGACTATTATAGATTTTGGAAATGAAGGGACAGGAGAAGTGGGGTAAAACCAATGTTTCTTTAGACACCCAATTTTTTCTAAAAAATATAGAACATTTAGGACTGGTGCATACAAATTCCTAAAACATTATTTGAAATATTTTAATTCATTGACATAAAATATAACCCTATTTTACAAATTGCAAGAATGCAACTTTATATTACTAATATTTCTTAACATTCAAGGAGGCTGCATCAAAAGCTAGCTGACATGGGTTTCCTGACTGAAGCTGGAAAAAAAAAAGAGGAGTTGCAGAAAAATCACCAGAAAGGGTGAGGCCTTCTCTGGACCTTTGTTCCTCTATTCCCTAGATTGCAACCTGATTAGTATTGATATGGCAATGCATTAAAACCAGCCAAAAGTTCTTCTCTTGTTGAGTTTCTCTTTTGAGGGCATGGGGTGTATTTAATACACACTGGCCTTTGGGAAAGCCAAGTTGGAGATGACAGGAGGACTACGCTCACAATTGATGAATGTTTGTTAGTGTATGTGTACTATTTGAGGGTATTCCTTAGTGCAGGCAGGAGCAGCTGGAATGAAGGTTAAGTCCCACTTGGCTTCCTGCAGAGAAATGATATCTGAAGTGAGAGCTTGGCTGCTCCTTCAGAGGATGTTTCCAGTCTACCTGGTGAGAGGTAAGGTTCCTGAGTTTTTACTGTTTTGATGGTGTGCTGAGAGATTTGTATGTGTATATGAATACATTAACCTCTTAATGTATTGTTTACTATTTACATTTTTTCTTTTCTCTTATTTAAATTATGTGACCAAATATTTTTACACTTCAATAGAGACATTTTTCTTGACCAGAAATTGAATATGAAATGTCTAGTAGGACTCTAAGTTATTAACATTAGAATATATAAGCACCATGATATCTTCAATTTGCTGGTTAACTCCATTTGATTGGCTATCCACTTGCATTCTATTGCTTTTATTGTCTTTCCTATAATATTCACTGCAGTACATTTTGATTTGTAAATAATAAAATGACCAAATATAATGATGTGTAAATAACTAAAGAACCAAAAGAACAATGCTTTTAAATGAAAAGCCCAATACTGATCAGCCAACTTATCAGTATGTAGGATTCTTAAAAAGTACGGTATTACCTAGCAGAGTGAAAGAGCCTTATTCAGTAATGGAAAAATAAATACTTTAAAGAAACTATTTACCATTTATGGTGGTAGGAAGCTGAGCCAACATAGTCTTGAATGTAACTTGCTACCTAGTTCTTAGCCATCTGCAAGTAAACATTGTGAATAAAGTATTATTAATTATACTAAGGACCAAATTAAGTACCAAAGGAAGCACATCTTTCTGTAAAGGGCAAGGAAAATCCATCTCCAGCTTCTACATCAGAGCTTCTGATCTATGTTGAGAGTACCAAAAAAAAGGGTTGGGAGAAAGTTTACAAAGTATAACATGCAACTGGAAACAATATTTTGTTAATTAACAATATTTTTAAAATTAAAAGTGATACCAATTGTCAAACAAGTTCAAAATGATTAATAAAGATGAACAGAAAAATTGACTTTTTTGCCATTGCTTTTTTCAGCATCTTTTTTTAATTTCTCAATCTAGCATTCATAGATGTAGCACTATCTGTTGGTCTCATCCAAGTATTATCTTTGTTTGAATTTTTTGAGATCAGTCATGGTTATTAGATTCTGCCACTTGCTGTGGCTTGGGCTAAGAAAAGGGTACTCTTAGAAGAGAATCAATACAACTCCATACCAAACATTGTAAAATCTCAATTAAAGGATTTCAAAGGAATGAAAAGGATGGGGGGGGATAGAAATTAAATACAACAAAGAAAGAGAAAGAATACAGGTATTCTTCAACCTATTACTGGAATTGAATCATGAAATACAGTCCTAAGTTGGTATGGTCATTATATGAGTCACCATGAGATCAGACCCAATTTTATGACACGTTATGGGTGCTCATAAGCATTTGCAGCAGTCTTTAAAAATGCTGTAGTTGTTAAGCAAATGCTGCAGTTGTCAAGCAAATCCATTTTACGCAATGGGTGCTTTTTTTAATCAAAAACTGTAATTAAATTCTGGAAATGGTAAAAACATATCAAAAATCATGGTGATGTGACCACGGGATGCTGAAAACAACCATTACGGTGAGCCAATTGCCAAGGGTCCAAAATATGATCATATGACTGAGAGGACAGTGCAACCATTGTAATTTTGAAATTTCATTGTTAAGCAGCTTTTTGGGTGTCCATCATAACTTTGCTGTTGCTAAGTAACTTTAGCTATTTACTAAATAACTTTAGTTAATTACTAGGATTGTAATTCCCAGAAAGATTTTCCATCAGATTCAGGGAATGTGTACAGTAGCTATGTGGCTAGGGTAGGCCAAGAATTGGCATAGTAATCAATATCAAGTGTGTTTTATTACTTATTACTTCAATGCATCAGTAATTCCTGTGCACAGGTTGTAATGCATAATGCAAGAACAACCTTTCAGTGGATAGTCCCATCAGCAAAGTTGGCAGTGTAAATATGAAGCTACTGGGATATCTCAAGTTGATGAGGATACTTTTTTTCAAAAATCTGTATATGTGCAAAATACTGGAGTTAAGTGTAAAGCTTCAAGTTAAATGTAAAGTTCTTTTTTACATTCTAGATATAAAAGTGACAGACATATGCTTTACTTAATACTTCCTTCACAATTCTAAACAAGTTAAAATATTCATCTGCTAGTAGAAAGAACAAAACTATTGAATATGCCTATGCTGCTGATATCCAGATATGATAAACATGCTTGTGAGGAGATACATAGTAGATCAGGCATGTGCTAATTTGGTCAAAAGCTGACTTTTCAGAAAATAAGTCAATCAAGCTGTGGTCATTTAAGTTCTGAATAATTATTCTTTTTCTATCTTCTACCCACTGACATCATTAGCCTGAGGTAATCAAAACAAGAGGAACCCTGGAAAAATTTCTGAAGATCAACAATTTATCATTCAATGATCAACTTTGTCTGGATAAACTTCTTAACCAAGTAAACATTATTATCCCACAGTGTAAGAGCCCTCCGCTCAAATATTGCCAGAAAATCTGAGAGAGAAAAACAAGCCTAGAGAAGTCAGAACTGTTTGCAGAAGCTTTGGTGGTTTGAGCAAGCCAAAATTTCCATAAAGAGCAATGTTCCTGCTTTTTCCAGATAGTAGTTTTATCGTCTAGTGTCCGAATGGTGTCATGAACTTCCCTGTAATAGTTTTTGTTTATGCCATACCCTCATGGTGTTGCCTTCGTGTTATCATCAGTTGCACTTAGCTATTAAACTGATCCAATTTTTAGGTTCTATTTTAAACTACTTTCTCCAAATACAAGCTTTGCCCTGGCCATGCTTTTGCAGTAGAGAGCGCCCAGACTAGCTAGATGTGTGTATGTGTCCAATTAAGCAGAGAAGAAAGCCTGGAGCATGATCAGGGGGGGTGAGGTGGTGGGGCTCTGGCTCTGTGTATATTCCCAAAGCTGGCTCACTGTCAGAACTCACTTCTGTTCTACCCGGGTAAACCAACAAAGTTAGAATTTTCTACAATGGATGCTATAAAGAACAAATAGAACTCCAAAATACATATGGAAGAGGAAAAAAGAGGGAGTATCAGTGTCAAAAATAAAACATGGATTGCAAAAATTATGCAAAATTGTAAGTTCACCTTTTTAATAAAAAATAAAATTTATTTTTGAATGTGAAGAGAGTTTGTTTTATAAAGTTTTAATGGAAGTGGTGTTTTTATTTGTTGTTCAACCCTTACCCTAATGAAATAATTACTTCAGAGACACATGTGAAAAAAGCAATAAGAATGAAAAGTAGGAGGAAAAAAGAGTTGTAACAAATAGAAAGGAAAAATAGAACCAAAAGTAATCCACATGATCCAAGATTTAATCCCTACTGAAAAAAAAAAGGATTGGAAGATTCCATTGAAGCAAAAATATTTAAAGCTTCCAAAGCAGTGAGTTATTTTTTCACAAGTAGTAAAAAACTGGTAAAATTTAAACAGTTTGATTATGTATTAAATATATACCTGAATATATATTAGTTATGGGAGCTGTCGTTGGAGCCTCCTTAACTTTCTTGTACCTTTATTTATTATTCTGATTTGTACAGGCACTGTTTTGCTGCAGTTTTCCTTCCTTCTCCATGGCTGGTTTTAATCTGCGTTGGGAGGGAGAAGTTGGGCTTTAAGCCTTTGCAATATGGGGTCCCCCGGGGCTTGGGTCTCTCTCTTCTCCTCTTTAACATTCACATAAAACAGCTGGATGAGGTCATTTGACAGTATGGGGTGTGGTATCATCAGTATATATCTCCATCCCTGGTAGGGCAGATGAGGCTATGAAAGTCTAGATAATGAGAAACCGACTTTGACTCAATCCTGGCAAGACAAAGTGGCTTTGGGTTTTGGGCCTCCGGAGTCTGGTGATTTGCCATGTCTGAATCTGGATGGTGTGGCATTTCAAATAGAATTTGTGCACAAGTTCCGGAGTCTACTAAATTTACAGTTATTCCTCTATGAAGAGGTGGTAGCCATGGCTGAGGGGAAAGAGGGGGGGTTTGCATTGTTTCATCTTTTGGACCAAATGTGCCCTTTCCTGGACTGGGAGGCCTTGCTCACAGTCACTCATGCTTTGAATACTGCAATGTTTTACAACAAGCTATTCTTGAAGACCACCTGGAAATTACAGTTGATTGAGTATGGATTGGAACAGAATGGGCATGGGCACCCCTAGTTGCCCTACATTATATTCCTGTTGTGCAAGCTGCACAGCCTCCCAGTTTCCTCTCAAGTACAATTCAAGATGCTAATTATCACTTTTAAAACCCTACGTGGACGGGACCAAGTTACTTGCAAAACTGCCTCGCCCTATAAAGGGCTGTGGGAAACATGAGGAAGAGCTGCAACTAAGCCAACTATCAAACTTGCAAGACTGATATCAGCCCTTCAAGATAAACCAGATTTGGAAACCAAAGTCATGAATACTAAACTTTTATTACAGGATTACATTAATAGAATCTTGCAAGTCTGAAAATGCCTCCAGCTCCCTGCCTTTATTTACAACAGAACAAGGGAAGGTCAAGTCTGAGGTGTTTTCTCAAATTACATTTCTGCTTTGGACTAAGATTCCTCTTATCTGACTGTTGTCTTCTTTGCAGCTCTTTCTCCTATTCCTCAAGCTATTCTCACAGCCCATTACACTCCCTGGAGGTATCTGCCCATCTCACTAGAGGGATAAGAAATTATATTTTTTTCAGCACATGTTTATTGCAATACTAGCATTTCCTGAGTCACGTTATTCATGAAAATAGTGTTCACTATTAGATTGAAAACACTTTCTTTGTCAAGAAGACTTGTGTCTCAAATGTTCTCCATTTATTCTGTTAGAGTCATTCAAAATCTTCTAGATTGAAGCATAAATAAATTGGCTCATTTACTGAGAAGTTCAAACGGTGCTTCCTTTAAATGTTTCTTTAAGGAAAGAAGAAAGAGATGCTTGCACAATATCAATTTACTCATTGGGTGACAATCTCAGCTGGATGGAGTCAGAAGTTTCCTGCTACCTTATTTGTGAGACAATACACTTCATGTCTGGTTTCCTGTGACTAGCCCAGTCTTTCCTCCCCACTATATCTAGAACTTACAGTGGATATAGAGAGTCTACACAACCCTGTTAAAATGCCAGGTTTTTGAGATGTAAAAAATAATCAGACCAAGATAAATCATTTCAGATGTTTTTACACATTATTATGGTTTGTCGCATAGTCAGCTAGACATTCAGACTGGATTTGGCATTTTTATTTACCTTTTGAGTCCTTCCCAAGGCCCTGGGAGAGTCAGATGTGGATGTTTGATGGTATTACAGATATTGTCACAGAATGTAAACTATTCCAAAGAAAGCTGCCTTTTGCAATTGACTGATGGTGAATTTGTCAATGCCAATGGTAATCACATGATGCTCCAGTTGTTTTGGGGTTGCACCGAAGGCACCTATTATTACTAGCTTTGATTTCTTTTCCCACAGTCATGCTAAAGTCCCAGAGCACTTTAGTTTCTTATTACTGAAGTCAACCAAATGGTCAGACTGGATTTGGCATTTTTATCCATCTATTGGTATTCCACTTTTATGATTTTTACAAATAACTCAAGGCAGTGAACATATCTACCATACCTTCCTATTTCCCCACAACCACCCTGTGGGGTGGGGTGGGCTGAAAGAAAGTGACTGGCCCGACTGGCTTTCATGGCTAATATAGGGAATTCATGATCTCCTGCTTTCTAGCCTGGTGCCTTAAACACTGGAACAAACTTGCTCTCTTAATATAACATGTGTTTAATATTTAATTTAACATATAAGCTGCTCATAAGGTTATGTAGAATTCCCCAAAAAGTCAGGCAACTTGAACAAATATTAGAGTTCACGATGTTCAAAGCAGTTCTGGATCAATATGTCAGATTGCAAGATCATTTCCTGTTGCACAACCCTCTTCAGATTATACTAGAGATTTTCAATTGGATTCAGGTCCGGGTTCTGGCTGGGCCATACAAAAATTTGATGTTCTGGTAAAGCCATTCTTTTATTGATTTAGACATATGCTTTAGATTGTCATGTTGAAAGGTGAAATCTTCATCTTTAGCATTTTAGCACAGGACTAAAGGATTTGTGTCAAAATTGACCAATATTGGAACTGTTCATCTTTCCCTCCTTCCCACACACCCCTTGACTAAAGCCCCAGTTCCAGCTGAAGAAAAGGAGCCTGAAACA